TGTCCATTTACTAAGTAATATACAGTATTAACAGAAAGCAAGACCTGGTTCATTCATTCATTTTCTGTAATTTGTCAACCGGATTTTACGATTATAACCTGAAAGTTAGCTCTGGAAGAACGAATCTGTCGAAAGGTGTACATTTATATCTTCATCACTCTAAATGAGAAATGGTATTTGCCGTGTCGCAACTAAGGCATAGTACTGGTTTGGAAATGATTGTCCGATGAAGTCATAGTATTCCCTGGAAGGACGACCTACTCTTGTCTATTTGGACAAACCTGTATAAGAGATTATATTAAACGCAAAACTCAGCCACAGTAAAACAGGAAGCAACGGTTTTATCACGGTTGCTTATCCTCTGTATGAAATATAACATCGCTTATGAGAGTAAAGCCGAAAGTGCTTAACATTCTTAGTTGAAATTTACCTGCATAAGAGGGTAGTTCAACTTTAATGAACAGTCCAGTCCTGACGATGTTGCGGTTTGTGCAGTGAAACATGTTTCGCATTAAACTGTTTACCATCTGCTGTATTTGGTTTCCCGAACCACGAATCATTCCAATAACCATGTATATAACTATGGCCCCAGAATCAGAAACCTGAAGAATTATTTATTCAGGATAAATTACTTCCTAAATTTCTCCATGTCATTCGTTTGTAGATTTGTGAACGGGAACGTAGCTTTTCCTTCGTTTCGAGAGGCATCCAAATCTCTGACTAGTGTGAATCTAACCCTGTTGAAGTCAGTCACTGACAAGAAACTTAGCCGAGAATTTAATGGTTTAAAGACGCGCCTGAGGTCCTTTCGGGGGCAGATTTTTGCAAGCCATTACTAAGCTTGACGATACATGAAGGGTGGTTGAATATGGGACACCATCACATCAGGATATAGGTGTTGTTGCAATAACAGATTTCTTCCTTTCCTGAACATACCTCATACACTGTAACTAATCTAACAGGTATATAACGAACGAGAACAACGAAAGAAAAAAAGTGTTGGTAAACGTTGGGGCGTCGGCTCATCCTACACCTTCATGATGGAGTCCATTTATTGTCCTTTTGTGAGACATACGGTACGGCACTGATCTTTTCAATATCACCAGCCAGAAATGTTTAATCTTAAAGGAGGAGACCACAGTCATGCTGCAAATATGGCGTGTAGCCTTCTGTTACTTCTCCCACGAAGTGGAATGTTTTTCCCAACTTCGGAAGGATAAAAGGCGTCTGGCAACTCCTGGATTTAAACTTACCATCATCGACAACCCATCAATTAATCCAATCCTTCTGAAAACAAAGAACATCGTTTCACGATACCTTTTAGTATGGGAAGAAATGAAAACTTTCATACATCATCATCTACGCTGTCGTACAATTTGATGTTAAAATGATATCGATGATTTTCATTTTCGCCATTGCCGGAAGAAGTAAACTCCACCGATTCGTTCGTAAATTTCACTTCCACGCCCTAAGCTAATAGACCACTTAATAACAAGCATTTTGTGGCGATTTATACAACGCTGCATACTCTCGCATCGCACACGTCCACGCGTATCGCTACAAATTCCTTCGTCTGGGACCAGTAAATGAACGGAAACGAAAAAGAGTTCATTTTCTAAATGAATACTTCATTAAATTTAAATAAGAACATTAAAAACTGAGCGACAAAGAAATTCACTAAACAAATTTGCGCGTAAGATAAACAGCCAAATGTCAAGATGTTGATTGTCATTTCCACTATCCCGAACTCTATTATGAACATTATCATCATTTCAATGTTCATCGCTATCATGATAATGATAATCATGACCGTGTTGATCATCATGAATATCCTGATCATCGTCATGATCACGATTATCGTCATGCTTATCATGATGATAATCACTGTCAACATCATGACGATGGCAGCTGTGATTATGATAATCATCATCTTCATCATCACGAACATAACTATGATCCCGATCATCACCACCATCATTAATTTAATCTTTATCACCATCATGGATATAATGATGACCACTATGCTACTGATCATGACGATTATTACGATCATGGACATGATATAATGATAATCATCATTATATCCATGATCGTGCTGAAGAAGAAAACGATGAACGTCGTCCCGATCAATATTATCATTTTCATCGCGATGATGAACATAAAGACAATCATCATGGTCAAACAGTGATTAAGACTAGGATGGTGAAAATGAAGATGATCATAATCCTAACAATGGAGGTAATGACAACAATGATTATGAATATAATCACCATCTTCATTATCAAAACCATGATCAGCACCATTATTATGATCAGGATCATCACCAGCATTATCATTCTCATCTTGGCCACGACCATCGATGTAATTATGATACAAAGATATGATATGATCACAAAGATGATCACGGCCATGATAGTAATGACTGCGATAACCATTACCTTCTGCACGATTATGGACATAATAATGAACATGTTTATTATATTGCCGATCGTGAAGATGTGGATGAGTATGGTCATGTCAAGACCATAATCCCCACTATCATGACCACCGCGGTCATCACTACATCCACGATCGTAAAAAAGATAATTCACGGCGGAGTTACATTAGTTGTCATCCAATATTCGCAGAGTAGAAGGAACAATGAAACGTTATGACAATGTTCTTCGCATTAATTAGAGAGCGAAATTCTCTATTTCCAGCGATTAACATTAAACGATTCTAAACGACTTTTCTACTACAGTATTCAAGCGACAAATATGAAAATCATAACCTCGTCGGTAAAGCTTTCAATTTACCGTTTTTTAACATGACTGAAATATTACAACAGCGATGACTGTAACGACCCCCTCCAGTTTCGACAATGAGATTTAACGTACGAACATTCGTGTTCATTTCAAATGTAAATTTTTAATTTTCACCTACATTGTTGTATTCTTGGAAATTTCGAAGTAGTGAGATTCTACGAGTTAAAAACAAACACTATCACACAACGATTTTTAACGAAACGTTGCCTATTTCTATAGTCACGGCATAAGAAATAAAAAATGGAATAAAAAACGAACATTGAAGGATCATCAAAAAAACTTAGACTTATTTTACAGCAAACCGAAAAGACCAGCAAGTTAATCAGCTAAGTTAACATTTCATATATTACGGAAGTATACAACAATATTACACCAGGTAATCTAGTTCTCTCGCATTCTCGTACTGTATGAACCCTTAAGCCGTTTGGTGTTGATTTCATTGATTCCAGTAGCTTCGATGCTCAACAGTGACTTAAGGGCTTTAATACATTAGTAATGTCATTAACTAAAAGACATCATCCGTTTTCTAATGCTTTTAAGCAGGGTTTTCATCCGGTTACTTATTGTTGACAAGTTTCTTAAAGCACTCTCGCAGTCGCCTCAATATGCCATTTCGTTAAAAAGAAGGCTCCAAATTTGTCCTTCACTGCTCTTAGACTGAATTGCGGAGGCAGAAGAATGTTTGCCAGAATATCTTCTTTACCATCTGGATATTCGACTCCAGCACCTGAACGAATGTTCCCCTGAATCACCTTTCACTTTGACAACTACTCTAGCTGTTGCCTTTAAAGCTTCTTTGTTTTATGTTCGAGTTGGAGGCTCTTTACTTCCAAGCCATGCTCCTCTTTGATGCGGCCTTCATCTACCTGATAGTAAGTTGAACATCTGGTGTTCATCAGGCAATTCTTTTTGTTTTTCACGCTGCAGAGCAATCTGCTTAAAAGCGCGGAATTTTGCGGAAACCCGAATAATTCGCCTTTAAAATAAAATTCCATTCGGTTTTCATGTCATCTTTCATGACTCAGATCTGTTCAAAAGGTAATGCAATGTTATTTGCATGTTTCGTCCTCGTATATGCGTAATATAATGTCTACGATTCGATTCTCTCGTTGCTTCTGGGTCTGCGCATAGTGCTCCATCTTTACAAGAACATAATGGGTGTTCATAACAGAGAGTCCGTAGTGTGCACAAAACAGCAATGATTTCATTCGGTTATTTTTGAAGTCATAATGGAGTTTCTTGCTTATCTCACATGTCCACTTCTCGATATCTGCACCAATATGCACATTGAAATATTCCGTTAGAATGACTAATTCTGTAACTGACAAGCGCTCGGACACCTTTGTTTTTCTCAACGAAGCACTCGTGCTTTCCTTCCGAAGTGAACGAATAGACTTGTAGCGGCGTCAAATCTATTGCTTGTTGTAACAAGAGTCAGAGAGACTGTCACTCTGTCGTTCGCGGGGTTCCATTCATAATTCTGTAAGACACGTTGGGTTCTACAACAAATCATTATCTGCTTGAACACGAAAGTCTGAGTTTAATTGCTACCATTTCCAAATGTTAAAAATTTCAGATCCCTAATGCCTTTTTAACGATAGTCCAACTATATGCAGTCGATATTTTATTACTTCATCAGCTAGCTCCTGTTCTTTCTGTCCCAGGGATGAGATGTTCGAAGTTCGGACTGCGAACTCCCACTCTCAGTGTCGTTCGCGTGGAATCTTTTATGACACGCTACACTGTCAGCGTGTTATATGTATACCGCGCTTAGAAGAGCTGGAGGCTCCATTGCTGATTAGTACTTGATCATCTTCGAACCTTTATGCCACTGCCGTCGCCATACTGCTGCGCCCAAAACGTTGAAAATATATGAACCTTGTTCTGATCGCTGACTTTCCGCATTCTGCGTCATTTACCTGACAGCCGTTGGTAATTTGGGCAAAATCTGTGACTGCGTAATTCATAATTTTCGTTACAGGCAATACCATTAGTGGCACGACTCTAAATATTTCAGTAACCCTGTCACTGTCAAACCTTTTCTCATCTGGACTTTCGACTGACAATGAATGAGTTTATATGAAATACAAATTTTCGATTTCATGTCGTTTTCATATGTGTAAAATATTTTTATTGTATAATCACCTTC